GGTGCTATGCTGACCGCCCATTTTGGCCGCTTTTTAGTGACTTAAATTGCCATTTCGGCTGTTCACCAATCAAATATCTTGTTGTTCATTCCCCCCACCCCCTCCCAGTAAACGGAAAGCTGAATATTCATAGATTCTTCTCATATAAAATATATAAATTGCAATTGGATGAAAAAGAATCACCATCAAAACACTAACTTCAATATGAATGAACAATCCTGTCTAGGCATTATGCCCGCAAAAATGCGAAGCTTTGGTATAGCCTTCCGCCACCATTTTCAGAGGTCTGAAGGCCCTGGCCTTAAAAAAATACCTCTAGCGACTTCGTTGGCTTTAAATTGCCATTTCGGCTGTTCACCAATTAAATATCTTGTTGTTCATTCCTCAGTAAACGGAATGCTGAATATTCATAGATTCTTCTTATATAAAATGTATTTATTTATTTAAATAATATTTTGTGAGGGTGGTCCATCCAGCCTGAGCTGATCAATTGGGACCCTCAGTACATACAATTAGAACATAAGTATAAAAATTAAACTTGATCTTTAACATAAACAAATTTATTAAACCAGAATATGAATTCCCATTGGATGAAAAAAAAATCACCATCAAAACACTAATTTCAATATGAATGAACAATCCTGTCTAGGCATTATTTTTATTTTTATTTATGTTTTTATATATTTAATGTAATCTTTTATGTATTTTGTAAATATTCATTCTTAATTTGTAAATGCGTATTTTAATGTTTTTGTGTAATTTAATTGTTTGTAATTAAGCCCTTTATATTTTTGTAAATGCAATACTTTTAGCCTTTGGCTACTTTTTGTATTATTTTTATACCTGAATAAAATAAAATAAATAAATAAGATAATGCCCGCAAAAATGCAAAGCTTTGGCATAGGCTTCCGCCATTGTCAGAGGTCTGGAAGCCCTGGCCTTAACAAAAAAAAAAAAAAAAAAAAATGGTTCGTGTGGGAATCGAACACACAACCTCTAGGTTTGCTATTTATTATCCACCACCAACTAAACTGCCTTAAAAAAAAAAAAGATTGGTTCGTGTGGGAATCGAACACACAACCACCAGGTTTGCTATTCATTATCCATCATCAACTAAACTGCCTTAAAAAAAAAAAAAAAAAAAAAATTCGTGTGGGAATTGAACACACAGCCACCAGGTTTCCCGTAACGTGATTAGTCTATTTTTTTTTCTAATTTGCATAATGAATTTTTCAAACATTTTTTGTCTATTTAAAAAAAGTGCATAAGTTATGGAGATGGTAACAATCAAAAATCGATTATAAATTTAATTATACATTTTTAGACAAAAAAATAAACCCTCTTGGGCCACGGCCCATTTTTGACACCATGACCATGCGTAATATTAATCTGTAGTGTATATATACGAAGAATTTTTTTCTAGTAGGAGCAGAGTTGACTAACTGGTACTTGGTGTGGTACTAGGTTTATCGCATTTATGGCTTAGGGGCCGCGGTTTACCTCCCTCCGTTTAGTCATGCTGGATCAGGGGTAGTAAACTCGGCGATCGTGGGTATTATTCCCACACGGGGCAAGTTTTTTTTTACAATTTTTTTATTTATTTTTATTTATTTTTTTTTGACGGACGTGGGTTCGATTTTCTTTAAAAAAGGCAGTTTAGTTGATGGTGGATAATGAATGTATTGTACTCGTTGATGACGTCGCGAAATAACAACAAACAACAACGTGTCATATCCGAGCCTAGGCCGTCATGGAAGCTCACTGGCTCCTGTGTAATTCATGTTGAGCCAACTGCAGACGAAAAGGTTACAATCTTTTCAGAGATAAGCTGGAAGAAAGTTTAGACAGTGCCCATCAATGGAAAGATATTATTACTGAGGAATGAAAGTTAGCGAAGTCCTTCGCTTGCTTAACCTTTTTTCTTCGATCGTCGTAACCAGCATGCACACAAAGATCGTACGCTATCGTGCGCTATTTACACGATCTTTTGTTACTTTTTCGCCAGTGACGTCATGGTAAAATCGTATATAATCGCCTATAACTTCATAAAAAAATAGCCAAAGAACGATTTTAAGGTTGATTCTATTATTAATGGCACATCAAAAATCCACTCTAGAACAAAAAAGCAGAACAATTCAAGGGAAAAATACAGCAATTTCAATTTCAGAAATATTTCTAATTACAAATTTAATTATTTATTTATTATTTAAAATCAATATTAAAATTTAAATCAGCATCAATTAGAATTTTAAATTATCAATATATAAAAAATCAGTAAAAACAATTATCAGTCATAGCCCTATTCAAACAATTGTATTGCACATTAGAATATCTATTTTTTTTTAAATAGTTTAATTCGGGAAGTACATTGCTAATTATCCAAATTAATCTTTGTTTAACAGTCCAATGACACATGGAATAGTTGACTTGGCAAATGTTTTTGTTCGAAGCGTGGTACTAAATACAAATTAACCTTTCGAAGCGATCTTATTGGTTCTTCTTTTTCTAGGATCCATTCCTTAAAGAGTTCTGATTTAGGAAATTGATATTTCGTCTCTATTGTAACGTACTTAAATTCAGTACATCAAGAGAATTCGCATATAACTATCATAATTCCGATATCCAATTATAATTTTAATTGCTCGTTTTTAACAAATTCGAGCTCATCACTGTTTTTCCCCCCCTTTTTTTTGTAATTGAAGAATGCCAAAGAGAACTAGCATATTATTCTAAAATGGGACGAATAGACATATTAAAAGTTAAAATAAGATCATCAGTTGAGGCTCCATACCGCTTCAAAATATACAACATGTAAAGCCGAGGTGATGCCTTGGACCTGAGACAACTATACAACTTCTCTAGTCGTCTCAGCTTGGACACAACTTCCTTAATTTGCATGTTCCACTTGAGGTCACTTAAACACTTTGAAGATGTGCGCCAAGAGGTTTTACACTTTGTGATTGCTCAAGAATAACACCATTCATTTGTAGTGGCTCAAACTGTGGCACATTTCGCTGGAAATTGATGCGCATGCGTTGTATCATTCTCAATACACCAGCTTGCAAGATCGTTAAGGTTATTTTGCATTTGACTATTCTCAGGATTCTTGACAGAAATGACTTTGCCAATCGTTAGGTCATCCACGAACTTCCATCAATCCGGCACATGTTTCAGCAGATCATTAACCATGATGGTAAACAGTATTGAGCCTAATTTAGTGCCTTGTGGCGCTGAAACTGCCCCACCAATTTAACCTCATAACGTACTAACCTTATAATGTCGGTATTGCAAATCATTAGGCCTACCTTTTTTGTGGGCACGATGTCTTTTCTCAATATATTTTTTTATACGTTGATTAATCCAGGGCTTATCACTTTCCTTAACGCGAACAAATACTGAAGGGAAAGAATATTGTATAGTTATTCCTCAATACACTTTACAATTTACCAGCGAGGTACCGTACTCAAAATAATTTCCGTTTAAGTGAACCAAATTATCCCAATCCATCCCTGTAATAACTTAATCAAAACACTGCATACACGAATCCTTTAGAGGGCAACGTTCAACTATCTTCCTTTTTATATGTGTTTTTTTTTTAAATTACAAGGTTCGTATAAAATGGAAGCATGGTCACTACGACCTAAAGAGAGTTTGAGGGGAGATTGATAAAGATCAGAAATATTAGTTAGAATTTTATCCCGACAGGTGTTCTCGCGAGTTGGAAAACCAATAACCTGGTCAAGAGAAGTCTGGTCAATTAAAGGGTTAATATCATAATCATTGAAGTCACCCATTATCAAAAATGAGGCATCATCCCTTAAACTTCGAAAATGATCAATTTTAGAACACAAGAATTCAGTAAGCAGCTGATGCTGGTTACAGTTGGGAGGGATAATAAACAACAATGGTGAGAATAGAAGAATTATGGCTGACTTTAACATCGACACAGAGACACTCAAGATCATCAGGACAATCATTTTCCAATTTGTAGTCATACATTTCATTAATATATAACGCCACACCACCACAAACGCGACTACCTCTATCTTTTCGAATACACGAGTAACCCTCAACTGCTGAACATCGATAGTAAAATTAGAATGATACCAGGATTGTGTTATACCTGCAATACCTATATTGTTGTCCCATAATATAAGTGCAAACTTATTCATCTATTACACAAAGAACGTGCATTGGCCAAATACATGCTAGGTTGAAATTTTCTAAGTTTAACCAGGGGTTGAATTGGAATTAAAACTCTAGGATCTTTTCGAAAACCAGTATTATCTGAGTTATTAACTCTGCTAATATGCACTGGTATTTTCTTATGCATATGAGAACCAGCCCACCGTCCTCTTTTACGTTTAAAGATAGCATTAGGAGACCTGAAATTATTCTTTAAATTTAAAGGCCTATTCATTAATAACATTAGAAAAATTATATAGTACACTTCACAAGAGTTTTTTTTTTAATTTTTTTTTAAAAATTATAATACCGGTGGGGTATATTTTTAAAGCTAAAATATGTTTTGGAATTAAAACGATTGTTTACATTTTTGTGCATGTAAACGTCAAATGATTCCACCAAATAATAAGTGACCCTATTTTGTATAACGCCCTGTAGGAATCAATGCTATCTAGTGTTTGTAATACGGTATTACTTAACTTCTGACGACCTACTTTCAAATGTCTTGTCAACATAATGGATAGATAGGGCACCAAAATACATAAACGGTATCAGAATCATAGTTGGCCTCTCCTATACATAGGCCGATTACCCTGATCATACTAGCAGTTACATTTCACTCTGAAAACAGAGAGGTATCCAATATAAGGGAATAAAATTGTGTCAATGAGATGAAGATCCAATGCAGGTTTTTAGCTCTCCTTGCCAGTGTTCTGTCTTCAGTGACGTCGAAAACTATTACAACTGCAATGGGTGACGTCACTGGTATAAGTATATTATTCGAGGATAATACATACATCAACAAAAGTGTAAATGTAGACGTGTACCGCGGGATCCCATTTGCTGAACCCCCTTTAGAGGGTCTTCGATTCAAACGTCCTATCGAAAGAAAGCCGTGGAGTCCAGAGGTTTGGAACGCTACTTACTACAGAAATGTGTGCGAACAAACGAACCCTAACATTGTATCGGCGGAGACTTCAGAAGATTGCTTATACCTGAACATATTTGTTCCTCAGTCTGCGAAGGTAAGAGTTTATTTAAACCATTAAACTAATGATAATACATCACATTTCATACGTCAATAAGCCATGACCTATTCTGTATTATTATTATTATTATTATTATTACTATTATTATTATTAACAGATTGATGAGCACCACAGTCTTAGGTAGCATTAATGACAATAATTAGTAGACGTTCGTTCAAATTTCTCCTTTTAAAATGCACTGAAAAAGATGTATTTTATAAGGGTTTTTGCATCATCATTACCATCATATCATATAAAAATAAAAATTAATAGATTGATGAGCACCCAGACTACCACACCACAGTCTTAGGTAGCATCAATGATAATAATTAGTATCACATTGGTATGGCACTGATTATATGAAGATGAAGACGATGATGATGATGATGATGATGATATGATAATAATAATATGATGATGACGATGATATGATGTTATGATTTTAAGGAAAAGAAATAGATGACAGAAATATTGCTTTTTATTGTTTATTTCTTTTAAAAAATAGGGTTGTGAATTTGATATTATTATGAAATACCAAAATGCCATTCTTTATTTATACCAATAATAGAAAAAATACAGTAGAATCCCTTCTTTGGGACACCCCTATTAAGGGGACACCCCTATTAAGCGGACACCTTTTCGGCTACAAAACAAGGAAAAGTCTATTTAACACTATGACCATCACCTATTCAGTGTGCACTTTTTTGGTCCGGATATCACCTTAATAGGGGGTTCTACTGCATATACAGATAATACAATTTTAAGAATCGAGATAGAGAAATTAATGGCAACTGTTTAGTGTTTTTCATTTAGAGAAAGTCTTAATATCTTTATAGTTTATATGTAGTGTTTATGAATGATACTGGTATGATAAAATTCGCATGAACATATAATATATTTCGCCCTCCAATTCGAGACCACCTTTGGAACTTAAAAATCTGGGATGGTCTCGGGGTTGGTCTCCAATTAGAAGGCTAGCTTTTTAAAAGGTTGAAGATTGTTATTTGGGTCTTTGGAAAAGTGGTCTCGAATTGGAGGGGTGCACTGTATACGATACATAATGTGATCCTTTTTTGTTATGAATATACATTATGTATAAATGAAGGGAAAAAACAGTTCATACAATATATATTACAATATTATTTAATGAGTAACAAAGAAAACAAAGTATTATCATTGACATGCAACACATGACTGCCGATAATAATATAAGAATAGTAAGAGTTCTAATAAAGACTCGTTAATGCATCCATCTCGTTTTGCAGCCGGGAACAGCAGTGATGGTTTGGTTCCATGGTGGTGCTTATATCGTAGGAGGCGGATCTGAACCTGAATATGATCCAACACCATTAGCTGTTGTCGGTGACGTCATCATAGTTACTGTAAATTATCGTTTAGGAATCTATGGTTTCCTAGTTACCGGTAACATTTCTTTTTATTGAATACTGGTAAAATATAATAAACCATATTTAATTTCATTATTTAGCCTGTCTATTTGATCAAGTCGTTAATTATTCGGCAGCAGTATGCAACACTCATCTTGTTCAGTGCTCTGACACTAATATATTGTTATTTATTATTATTATTATTATTATTATTATTATTATTATTATTATTAGACGGTATTACTAATAAGCGAAAATGTTTCGGCGTTATTTTTTGTTAAATACAAACGATGATGACGTACCGTAGGTATTCTTCTGTTATTCAAGGCGATGACGAGGCCCCAGGAAATTATGGAATGCTTGATCAGATTCTCGCTTTGCAATGGGTCCAAGATAACATTGCAGGTAAGATAATTTCCCAGTACAGTACCTGTAGGCCTACTCGCTTTGCAATGGATCTGAAATAACAGTGTAGGTTAGATAACTTCCCTAGCAGTTATGGACGCAAATATAGTTCTACATATGTTATTTTACAGCGTTCAATGGTGACCCGAATTCTATTACTATCTTCGGTGAAAGTGCAGGAGCAGCAAGTGTGCATTTGCAGATCCTATCCCCCTTAAGTAAGGGCTTGTTTCAACGAGGTATTATGCAAGTAGGTTTATGAATAATAATAATAATAATAATAATAATAATAATAATAATAATAATAATAATAATAATAATAATAATAATAATAATGATAATGATGATAATAATATAAAGATGCATGCAACACCAATAACAACTACAATGACAACAACTACTAGGGGAAAGGTGCCTAAAACAACTATAAGTACAAGTACAACAAGTAATACCGTACAACTAATACAACAACTTAACAGCTCGAGCTGCTTCAAATTCTGGTCACTGGAGACTGAACAACAACAATACTCCTAGCATGGACCTATTAATAGGTCCATGCTACTACACTTTTAGGGTCCTTAAGGGTTAGCGTTACCCACCAGAACCAGACATAATTTAAAAACTTTTTCATTCCCGTTTAGTTTTAACCTTTTATGATTTAAGCTTAGACCATAATAACCACAATAAATCAAATTTATTCAACATGCACCTATCAAATCTTATATAGGCCTAATACAATACAAATCTTGTTTTATTCTTAAGCTTTTTATAAACAATTGAAGTACTTGTCTCCAAATTTGGTACACATAATATATAATATACATATTATATGCAAGAAAATAGACGAAAAGATAACAGAGGTAAAAATTAGTGAATGACAATGCACAAAAATAAGAAATTCGGATTCTTGGTATCGGGAACTCTTCTTTCCTTGAATATTGTTCCAAGTTGGAATTAATAAATTAATAGATAATTGGCAGAAAAACGCAGGAGAGAGTGTTGCGTACGATACAAACAATTCTTCTAGCGCAGAATGACCCAGATGATGATATTGACAAAGATATTGGTCAGAGTGTATAGCACCTTCCACAAGGGTTTATATTATTACTTCACATACTGGTCACAATACAGTTTTCCCTCCAACTAAAGACCGCTTTTGGGACCAAGGTTTTCATGGTCTTTAGCAGCTTTGGCCTGTAATTAGAATAATAATGATAAAAACATTTGTTTATATGGGAACACAGAAGAGTGGTCATTTATTGGAGGTGGTCTTTAATTGGAGGGGTCTTTCATTAGAGTGAAACCATTATTTGTAAACACCTCTGCTCCTTCAGTGCTTATAATCATTTGCGATTTCTGCACTTAGACGTAACTTATGTACCCATTTGTTGACAGCGACGGATCGAGGAGGGGGCCTAGGGAGGGACTTTCAGATGGAGGTAAGCAAATTTTTGATCTCAGCACCTCTGCCGAAAGTATAAAATATTATTTACCTTTTTTCTCTATTTTTTTGTAATTTTGAAAAATGTGTGTGGGTTGGGGAAGAGGGCGGGTGCGGGTCGGCAGAGCCCCTTGAATTTATAACTGGTTGAAATTGAAACAAACATAGAATGACTGTCTCGTGCAAGCATAGGACTCAAAAGCCCATTAAACAGTGTTCACGTTTTGCTGTTCTTACTAGAGTGGTTCAGCGCTCCCCGGTTGGGCTGTTGAGTTGGATAAAGACAAGGCTATTTCTAATGGAAGACATGTTGGTAGATCCGTCAACTGCACTCAAGAAGACTCCGCTGAATTTGTAGCGTGTCTTCGTAGCAAACCCATGAAAGATGTTACTGCAGCTCAACGTCAGGTAAAATTATAAATATGTGGAAATCAATGCGCCCACTCGGAAATAATCAATGCATTCACTAGATCCAATGATGTGATCTCTTAACCCTCACTTTTGTTTATTATTTTTAGTTGGTCTTACAAGTTACGAATGTAGTCCCATTTGTACCAATTGTGGATAATTATTTTCTGTCAGATGCACCAGCAACGTTAGTTGCCAAGATGGAATACCAGGCAACAGACATCCTTATAGGTACTAACCACGATGAAGGTGCACTCTGGGCTCTCAAAGACAACTTAAAATACATCAGTTCAGAAGAACCTCCGGTAATGCTCCTCGATGAGTTTCGATCTACTTTCCCAAAATACATTCATATTTACAGTAACCCGTATGTAATGGATGCAATTGAGCATCAGTATTTGGACTGGACAACGGTTGATAACAATCTAACAAGTCACTTAGATGAATTTATTCAAATGACAACTGACCAAGACTTCGCATGTCCGGCAATAGACGTCGCAAGGGCGCATGCTACGCGTGGCAATCGAGTGTACCAGTACGAGATGACGCATATTCCGTCAATGTCTGTGTATACCGTCGGCAGAACATTGGGACCGAAGTGGCTAGGAGCAACCCATGTTGAGGAAGTCCAATACACGTTCGGATGGGGTTATAATCCGGCACTACGCAAACGATACAAACAGACAAATGAAGAGTTAGAAATGTCAGTGCAGTTTATGCGTTACTGGACGAACTTTGCCAAATTTGGGTAAGAGTAGGCCTATTATTCATAACACTGCTAAATTAAAAACCAACCAATCAATACAATCGTTGCATAATGCCATTCGAACAGCCATAACAGTGGTCTTTAATTTTTCAAGTGAAAGTGAACGCTTTGTCTTCAAATGAAGTGTTGTTCAAGGACCTTGGTCCGGCAGTGTCAGTTTCGTCTCCACAAAATTCGAAATTTGAGGGAACCAAAATTAAGACCACCGCATTCCCACCATAGTTATGGCTGAAGACATTTTATGTCTTTGGCAACTCATTATCCACACTCCCGGACTTGGGAATGCAATTTTCTCTTTTTCCTCACCCCCACCCCCCCCCCGTTTTTAAATTTTTTAAAATTTATTTAAAAACATCTTGTGTGTGATGGTGAGGTGACTGGGTCGCTAGTTCCGTCCCAGCTAACTGAAATACTAAAGCTCCCACCTGTGTTTGCTCTTTGCAAAGAAAGTTAATATTAGTAATATTAGTATTAGATAAGGTAACATGAGAAAGAAATAGAGAAAAAAAAGGAAACATAAGAAAGATATGTATGAGAAAGAAAAGTAGACATTAGAAAGTAAAGGAAATGTAAAGATAGAATACATCAGAAAGAAAAAGGAAAGGTAAGTAATTGGTAACATAAGAAAGATAAGGAAAAGATAAGAAAAGGGAACATAAGATGCAATGAAATTAAATGTAAAATATACCAAAAAAAAAAACTGACAAGGTAATATCTTATAAAAAAGAAATGATAGTTTGTATAACTGATAAGTGAGTAGGAAATAGGAAGGATGGTATTACTTTGACAAAATGAAAGGGTAGGTCTACATTTTGATTTCTTGTGCTGCCGTTTTTAATTTTATATAATAAAATTTACACTTTACACTTTGTTATTTGTGATTCCTGTTTGTTCTCTACCTGTTGTTTGACACTGCGCCTTGAGCACCAATCTTGGTGGTGATGTAAAAATCGTTATTATTATTATTATTAGTATAATATTAGTTAATAATATTGGTATCAATAGCGTCAGAGAAAATCAAATAACACCGTTTAACATCGTTATGTATTACCAACATTATCAGTTTGTCACTGTTCATGTTTTAATTTACATGCAACTGCATTCCTTTGTTTTGTACAGCGATCCAAATGGATCACCAAATGAAACATCGATCTATCCTGCGTGGCCAGTCTTTACTATTCCAGAGTTATCTTATAAAGATTTGACACCAGCAATGGAGAATAAACGCGCTCTCAGGGCAGAGGATTGTAGCTTTTGGCGCAACAGTATATCCAGGCGTGCTACGTATGTCGGTACGAAAAATACAAAAACACATAATAATGTAACTTTACAAAAATTTGTCAATTGAATTTGCATGTTTAAACTATTGTTCTTTATTTTAGATGACATTGAGAATCTTCAGAAAGACTGGAGTGAAAGTTACAAATTGTGGAAACTCGAAGACATGGCTGGTTGGCATACTGAGTTTGAGAACTTCAAAAACGACAATAACCCTTGCCAATAACGAACTGAAATGCTGGACGTTTGAGTGCAAGCTCTTCTAGATCTGGATCTAACTCCGAAAAAATGGATATTCACATCACATCACATCAGAGTTAAAATGGCTTCTTTAACCATCAGGAAATTGCTTGTTAATCTTTATTCACAAGTGACCAAATGACCTCTTAATAACTTTCATTATTAAAATAATATAATATTACGATAAATATTGCAACTAGACATGCGTGCTTTATAAAAATTTATGGTAATACATTTAGAAAGTTTTAGATCTTTTCATACGACGCTATTTATATAAGTATAAAGCAATATGGGCCTAATGTGTTTCTTGTATTATTGTATTTGGGAACATATTTTGAAGTACGATTGAATAGGTAATGAGATAATATTGGTCCTCTATATAGGTGGTTAGGCTTAGCTCTGTCGAGAGATCTCATTCCGTCAAGAAACATTGATTTTTTAATCAACTAATCAATATTTATTTAGCAGACATAGACATTAATTAAAAGGCAGTGGATATATAGCCGGTGGACATCATTTCCGTAATGATTATTGCGGGTGCTCTTTAAACATACAGTAGCCTTAAAAAATGTGCAAATTAGAGCTACAGCCGGCAAAATAAACATTGTGTAATTAAAAAATATAGGCCCCCTATGTAGCAATCAAAATAAATTAATCAGCAAAAGAGTTGCTTTCTCTCCTTGTTTAAATGTAGCCTATGTCTACTATGCCTGAGCTGCTGACCAGGGTTAATTTCATATAAATTTTTGGTTATATAAATAATTGTCATAGACCTATTCGTTCATCACTATTTACTGTATAATTATCTTGCTTTGATAATCGCCAATATCTATCGATAGCTTACAATTAAATAGCAACGATCAAGCAAAGTCCATCGACAACATTCGGAGGTCTTTTCTCTGCTTGTTTGTTGTACATATTATAATCCCAGATTCAGCCGACATGTGATGTTTGAACAACATTTACTTTATCACAATTCAAAATGAATATGGGTGGATTATTATCAACCCCCGGACAGCGGTCCAAAAAAGAGTTTTAAAATTTGGATCGCGAGATATCAGAATTTAAAAATAAAAAGCAATTAATTAGAAGAAATTTTATTTGACGATTGAGGTCTATTACTTGCGTTATTTGTGTCTTTGTGTGAGAATGTATGCCCATTGTTCTAATCAGGCTGATGGAAATTTTATGGATTGAAAGAAACATGCCTTTAATGGATTCATTGTTCATTTCATTGAACTCGGGACATTTTCCATCATTATTACTTTTATTACACAAAAAAAATGTATTCAAGTAAAATAAAAATTACCTCACCATTTGTAGACAAAAGATCTATCCAAAATAACAGGCAGAAAAGTTTACAGACAGAAAAATGCACACCTAAACCAGTGATTAACCCAAAGAAGGGGATGGGGGAGCGAATGGTGGTAGGTGCCATAACCCATGTTTGACAGATTCAAAACTGTAGCACCTCACCTGTTAGGTCTATTTTACCGGCCCGATTTTGGCCCCCGGACCAAATTTTTCCTGACAGGTCTATACATTTTGGAACTTACAGGGAATAAAAAAGAATTAGACCTTACTGTTATAAAGGCATAGAAGATAAACTAAAATGTATATATAGAGTACTACAGTGTTATGTGATACTACTCCATTGCTATCGTTGCAAACCATTGATCCCAATTTCTAACGTTATTATTAAGATGTTGTATCTTACTTTTTCTTTGTAAATTTTAATTGATGATTAAATGTGTGTTCGATATTATAATATAATGCGAGCTTTTGTGTTTTTAGTACATTTTGATGGTAAAATATTAGATTTTAAAATGCCTATTCCAGAAAGCCTATGAAGTCATTCAGGCGTAATGAACAGTAACTAACGTCCATTGACAACAGACAGCGCAACCTGGCATTGTGATGACACGACTGTGGTACTCTATAAATCACAACACAGTACATAATGCACGGAATGAAATCAAGACAGTAATCAGAATAACAGTAATTTATTCAATGCAACACCTGTGAGTATAATTGTTAACATTATGTATTGATTTTCATACTTTATATCACCAAGTTCGTTGGTTATCTGAATATAAAAATATTCATGTTAACATAACATAAATATATCATCATGATGATAATACAGTATACTGTTTTCAGCATCATGACTATCATGACACTAAATGGTATTTACATCTTCAATGTTCAACATATCATATTTATTCCACCTTGCACTTTTTTTTATTATAATATGAATGTATGTTGTTTGAAATTAAGCAGTAACAATGAAAGATGAATACCTAATTATCCCCACCTGATTATTGAAGTTTTATTGAAATGAGTTAAAAAAACATTAAATGGTAAATTTTTTAGTAGGCCTAGTTCAACCGCAGTAATGTTTATGTTACTTTACATTCATTTTTAATAGATTATAATCATAGTAAAGACTTCTTTATTTAAGCGATTTTTGTTGACTATTCTTTCAGATGCACCATAATTTTTAAGTTTGCACTAATAAAAACGATTCAGTATTTTTGACAAGTGATTTGTTGGTAGTTGCTCTCCAATTTTCGCTAAAAAAAAAAAAAAAGACACGGCACTCACTGTCAAAAATACCAATAGAAAAGCAAAAAGGCAATTAATATCACTTGTGTATAATTCCATACGTGCTACATTGATTATTAACTGTTCCCTGATTATCCTTAACCTAAAGCAAGAATGTTTACATTGCTACAATATATATAAAAAAATCATTGCACGTAGAATCACCTGAACCAAGCCTGCATAATTATTTTGGTACTTGTTTTCTTGTCAAAGGTATTAAATTCAGCGAATTTGTGGAAAATTACCAAATATTTTGTAATTTCAGGCATACATGGATTAAAAACCAATTTATAAAGCTCTGTTTTCATGGAGACATGAGCCACATTTACATCAAATCCAAACCAAAATTCAGACCGATATGCTTCCCAATCCGAAAATTTGGATTCAGCGCGAATGTACACACTGGTGAGAACAGGCAGATGGGGTCACGCCATCAAGTGTCTACAAAGAGAGAAGGATTTGGCTGTGTATGCCCAGCCTATAAAGGTACCAACATTAGTGGTGATAAACACAACAATAATAATAATAAGTACAGTATATAAAAAAATTAACAATATAATCATCATATGTATATAATTATATAGATATAGAATAAGTGACATAAATACATAATTAAAAAAAAAAATTATAATCTAATACAAATTATTTTTAATAATAACAATGGTATTAGTAATCATTTTTCTGGATTTTACAGCAACTCCATAAAACAACCCCAATGTGTTGCAAACCTAACATCCAAGGTGAACTATAAATAAAGTATATTTCAAGTAATACATGTGTAAATATACAAGCACACACAATTTTAAAATAATTATAATAATTGATATTGATAATAATAATAACAAGATGATAACAATAACAACAACAATAATAAAAATGACAAGATAATAACGTAAACTCAATATTGCGCATGAATACGTAACTTTAAAATTTGCGTGATGTCATGATCCTAGAATGGATTCACTCATCTACGACCATCCTGAGCCCTTTACACAATGTAAATTGGGCCACACTAAGTCCGAGAATTCGGACGACATATCCTCAGCATCCTCATATGAGAAGTGGATTCTAAGTGATTTTATCACATTCTAGATCTTACCTTTGGTAATTATTAATAATTATATTAACTAATTAGGTCACATTAGCCGAGGGGGGTCAATTCCCCTGACAAAAGCAAAGTAGACGTGGTCGACCTTTGATTAAAAGGTTTCGAAAGTGGTCCAGGAGGCTAAGCCTTCGAAAATGTTGACAATTTAGGGGTTTTGAAGGCTTATTTAATCAATTTTAGAGTCTACTAATATGTAGAAAATACATATAAATTTTTTTCTCCCCGACTAATTGTGCTTTTTCTCCCTGACGGAGGGGTGGGGGGGCAGCTCTCACTGACGGGGGCCCTGGCACCTCCGGCCCCACCCCTGCTTACATACTGATCCAATTTTCTGATTGGTACAGTGGCGTACCTACTAGTCTTGAAATGGGGGTGGAGGCTGGTAGGGAGGGCGAAGGTGGGGTGGGGACTTCATGATTAAGT